CATCCCTCTGGAAACAGGATGTCTTTTTGACACTTTGACCCAACTAGACACATGTCTCTCGGGTATGTAACCTTGGGTGGCTACTTCTTTGGAGCGATCCCTCGGCTGTGGCTCAAGTGTGGCATGGGACTCTATCCACCTTTGGCATTTTTCCTGAGCCTTGGGGGATCAGCTCAAAACCAACATCTCTTGTTTCTTACTGTCTATTCACAAGCAATAAACTGCTTCATATAACATGCCCCGTGTCACTGGCTACAGAAAAGGTGGTACCCAGGCTAGAGTTACACAACTCTGGAACAGGCTGAACACAATGTAGATGCTGTTTCTATTTCTTCATGCAGGAGTTGGGCATGGTGGTGTCTGCTGTCACTCAGCACTTTGGAGGCTGAAGCAACATGGCTCTGAGTTCCAAGATAGCTCACCACTTGCTAAGATCCTGTCTTACCACCACAACAAAACAAAAATACTGAGGTACCAAAAAATGCTCAAGGTTTTAGTTTTGTCCTCACTTTGATGGACAAATTATTCAACATGATGTCTGCTAGTGATTAAAATCTGAAAGTAATAAGCAGTTCCAAAAGTAACACTTAAATGTACTTTTATTCAAAATTATGTTTTGAAAATCTTGTTTTCTTGAGTTTCTACTTGTATTCTGAAGGATTTTGAGGTATGTAAAAATTATTAAATGACACAAAAAAAATCTCTCTTGATATTCATTAAAATTAGACAAAAAATACAACAAAATTAAGATGAAAGTTCATGGTAGGAAATGGACAGTAAATACTGAACCAATGGAAGAATGGATGGAACACAGAACTCTACAGTACCTAGAATCGGAGCTACACATGACTGCACCCATGAGCTCGAGGTCCGCCTTGGCAACACAGTAAGCCCTGTGCTTTGGCCTTGAGACATAATGAATGAGAAGAATCAACAGGAGACAGCAAACATGGAAAAACACTGGAAGGATGTGCAGCTTCAATCACTGTAGGGTGAAATCCCAAGGAAACAAATCATATGAGCACCCAAGGGTGACGCCACGAGCAAACATTCCACATCACTCACTGAAAACATCTGCTTTATGATAGTGCAGTCTGAGAAATAACAGAAGCAGCAAACTAACAGGCACATTAGAGGAACAACATCAACTATACTAACAATCAGTGAATCTATTAATTTCAGTTGGAATAAGTATAAGTACTAATGCAGGCTGTTGTTATTTTATTAATAACTACTGTGATATAATATATTATATTATGATGAGCACTGCTGATGGTAAGTAAGCAGGGCAGAGATGCTACAGCATTGGGGCAAGGTAAGGAATCCAGACAAGTCCTGTACTTTGATGGACATGCAGACACACAGGACAGTCACAGAACACAGTAGAAATCTTAACATAAATGACTGAAGCCAGGAATGCTGCTTCATGCCGGAAACTCCACCATTCAAGTGGCCGAGGTAGGGGATCACTGAGAGTTTGAGGTCAGCTCACACTACAGTGTGAGACCATCTCTCAAAAGCAAATGAACAAGTGACTGAAATTATTGAAATGGGATGTGTTTACGGAGATCTTAAAATACCGCCTCTTTCGTGTTTTTGTATGTTAGACACAGCACCGTCTCATGGTGACAGACAGACCATACTGCTATACTCATTAATGTAAAGAGCACAAAACATTACACAGGTCACAGGTAACTTCTTACAGTGCTCGAGGCAAAGAGAGAAGCAAGAGCATGAAGTAGATATCCAGAAACCTACCACTGAAAAGTCCTGCAGCCAGCAGCATTGGTAAATATGCACCTGAAGCTCTTCTAGGAAGATTCTTTACATTCCCAAGGTGCCCGGGGGAGGTGTGCTACACTCCACAGGCCAGAACTGTACTTCACAGTGCTTGGCCGTGTGCTCAGAGCATCTGTGAACGATGCCCGCTTTAAGAGTGTGCTACAGTCAAATGCTCCAGCATCCGAGCCTTGACTCACTACCGCAGACCACCTGTGAACCTACACTCCTGCATGTGCTGGGACATTTTGGAAGTAAATGGTCCCCCGATGTAATGCCTCAGTGCATTACAGTTCCCTTCTCTAACCTTTATGTTTTCCCCCAAGTTGAAAAAGGCAAGTGCAGTCACTCATCCAAAAGGGTTAAGAAAAGTCAAGATAATATTAAAATACTAAGAAAGAAAATGGGTTTCAGAAGAGGAATGCAGGATAATATATATGAATTGGAAGGTGAGGATTTTCATGTTGCATTTAATAAGATTTGGAACAAAAGCGAAGCTTCAATCTGATTTCACCTTTCCAAGTTGCCCGGTGCCTAATGCAGCCCATGACACAAGAGCAAAAAGGATATGTAACATAGGCACTTATCAAGACAAAGAGCAAACATGGGATGATTCTCAAAGAAGCGGTTTGAAAATGAGAGCACAGAAGTTCTAAAATCCCAGTTAAAGATTTGGGTTATAATATGGGGAAAATTGCCCAGCAGTGTTCCAGGAAGACAGCATATGTTTGTATTATACCTGCTGCATAGCTGTAGGTAAGATAATTGTGTATTTCTAACATAGACATGTCATGTATGAATGTGAGAGATAGGGATAGGAGAAGGGAGAGAGAGAAGTAGGGGCTTAAAAATAAAGAACTAAGAATACCTAAATAATAGAAGCAGGATATACAATTACTAAAAACTGAAAGACAGTGGAGAGGGCACATGAAAATTCTGAGGAAAAACAAACTTCAAACCAGAGTTCAATTCTCAGGAAAACAGCAATGTGAGAAAACCAGGAAGGGATCTGCAGACACACAGAATCTCCGAGATTTCTCAATCCCAGACAGCTCAGGGAAAATAGTGCCATGGGACCCAGAGAACAGAACCTTATGGGATACAGGAATGAAGTCTTCTGGCGGGGGGGCAATGAGGAATAAGGATGCTGCATATGTCACACATCAGGCCATGTGGACAGTATCGAACATAACTGAAAATGGAAAGCAAAGAGGGTCACCACCAGGACAACAAACCAGGACTTACAATTCTGGGAAGAGATTACTGATGGACTGAGCTTAAAGACAGCACATAAAGCAGATAGCAAGATAACCATGATCTCCACAAGTGCAAGTTACCCACAGATGGCTACCAGTGTCATGTCTAGTCCCTTAATGACAACAGATAGTCAGTGTGGGAAGCGAAGGCAAAGAACCAGGCATGGCTATGCACAGGGAGGTGGGATCACAGCAAAAGGAAATGCTAAAGAAGTGGTCATGTAACTGCAATATGGCTACACAGAGGTTAAGAGCAAAAGGAACAGCCAAGAGTTGAAGTGTTTGGAGACTAAATACAGAGAACAAGATGGGGTGATGATGGCCCTTCTGTACCATTGTTTTTCTTACCAAGAATTTAATCCTCTTAACTATGTGTGAAAACAACACGATAGAAAGCACAATTCACCAAGCATGTAGGATGAAACATGAAGGTAAGGAAGGCGATGATAACATGAGAGTTACAGAGGCCAGTGCTTGAGACCTCACAGGCACATTAGCCTACTGTATACAACACTGCTATAGAGTAGATGCTATTGCTTTTGCAATTTATGCGCAGAACAAGAGAACTTCAATATTTGGTCAGAATCATCTAACTAGATCATGGAGACACTCACTGGGGTGCAGTCAGGGATGATAATTCCAGAAGAAACACATGAATATAATACTCACTTCTTAGGTTCAACTTTTATTTTACACCTATTCTGAGCAATAGCTGTAGATATCCAAGATGCCTGAAGTGCTTGTGGTACAGTAAAGCAAAGCCACTGTATTTACGAAGCTTAGAGAGGGGACACAGAGAAGGTGAAGGCACATTTAGTGGCACAGAGGACAGTGTCTGATGAAAGTACATAGGTCACTTCTTACAGTGGCAAAGACAAAGGGAGTGGAGAGTCAGCCCCTGTCCTCCTTTCCACACAGTGGTGCTGGGGTTACACCCAGGGCCCAGGATAGTAAATACATAACTCTACCCCTCTTCGAGTCAGTGGGGCTCCTTGCCATCTTCATGGGGTCTGATAAAGGTCTCTTTTTGCACTTGGTCTTCCATAGATTAAGCTTTACGTTTCTGAGAAATACTTACAAAGTCCAAGGCATGACAACTACTTTTGCCTCACCCAATCAGTTTACAGCTTCTTGTGGGACAGAAAGACTGAAAGACAGAACTCTTCCTGATGACTGAGGCCAACTGTGCTTTTTCCTGTCAGGGATTATTATAGAAAGCAGGGTCCTCTCTCCCTGAGACTAGTTTCCTTTCCTGATGGGCTGAACGACCCAGCAAAAGCAACCTGAAGGGAAAGGGATCCCAACTCCAAGTTACAGTGCATCATTACTGATAAATCAAGGCAACACGAACCTGAAGCAACTGGTTATGTCCCATGCACAGTCAAGGGCAAAGAGCAATGGATTAATTAATGCATACATGCTTGTGTTCAACTCATTTTCTCCTGTTTCATACAGCTGAGGTTATAAACCAAAGGACTGGTGTTACCTACTTTCAGTTGGGGTTTCCCATATCATTAGCACAATCAAGACAATCAGCATGGCCACAGGCCGATGACTCCCTTCCCAAGTGAATCTAGACCATGCACCAGTTACTCTGATCAACATTCAGGAGAGAAAGAAGAACCACTGGTATCTCAGTAAGGAAGAAATCTTCAGAAACACCAGATGCACATCTGAAAGCATACTGTAAAAAGTAAAGTGCAGAAAGTCCTCTGCTTTGGAAAAGAAGACCAACAGTCCACTTAGGTAACTGAAGATGAGAAACACCCAAAAGCACTTTAAGAAAAAGACTATTTTCTTACATTTTACAAGCTTTGATACAATATAGCCAGAATGGTATCTTGGTCTACATCACTGGGAGCCCAGAAATGGGTTCTGATAAACAACCCACAATTCACAGGGAGGGTGTCCTGGTTATACAGAGGGCATTGAGCTGTGAGAATGGAGAGAGTCCCGAATGCTTACCTGCTGGCTGTTTTCACGGAGCAGTTTTTCTTGTGTCCTCTTTCCACTCGGCTATCTCTCAGAAGCTGATGCTATACAAAGTGTCAAGACAAAGTAGTAGAAACAAAAATATTTCTGTTATATTAGTTTGTAATGAGGAAAATACTTTGTAATCGAATGAACACTGGTGTGCCCAGTTGCATGGCTTTCTTGACACTCTCTTAGTTAATGATGACACTGTCACTGGTGCAAAAATGACAGCCAGGGGACAATCTGTCCTTGACAACTGCAGTGACTGATCTCAAAGCCAGTTAGCACATGGCCTGGAGCTCCAAGACTAGAGTTCAGGTGCCTCCTACTGCGGCAGTGACAACACCCTCTTTTGTCTAAGACTTTTACTGTTATGTTAGGTTTGTTCGGCTGCCATAGTTTTGAGGCTGATAAGAAAGAGCTGATCCTGTTTCTTATGTATGGAACCATAGCAGAAAATACAGAGTGTTCTCTAAAAAGAGTTAGTGCAGTAATGCATTTCCTTCAACTGTCTAGTCATCCATAACCCTTCATATCTGCTTTACCCTTAATTAACTAAAAATAAAGTAGATTAAAAAAAAAGACCCTTGCCAGTACTTTTTACAGTGTGTTCACTCAAAGAGTAACTTAATTTACTTTTATACGTGATTATGTAGATGCAAGGCGAGGCTCACAAATGCACACCTAATCAGAAATTAACCAGAGTAGAGAACGAAGTTTTATGGGCACTAACATGGGACAGGCCTGTGCTCCAGTAAGTCCTCAAGCCACTTTGCTTCAATGACAGAGTTATCACATACAAACTATGTAACCTTAGGCAAAGTCCTTTCTGTTCTAAGGTCTAGTCTCCACCGATAAAACAGATACTGGTGACACACAACTCTCAGGCTGTGGTGTTAAAGATGGACCAGGGGAATGCTTTAGATAGGACCATGAGACTGAAACAGAAGGTGCTGAGAACATGACCTGGGACCAGTAGACGTAACAATGGTTACAGCTGAGGAGCCTGAATGCCTGGCTGTCTGATGGTGGCTAATTGTTAACTGTTCTGAACAGTTCAACAACACCACTGAGAACTAAATGCTAATCTGGCCACTTTCTAGATAGTCCAGACTTTACTTCAGATCCCAGTATTCAGGGATGTCTTAGCTACGCAAATTCCTCTAAAATATTGACTTAATTCCACTCAAAGCCCCACCATCCTAGCTCAGACCATGGTTTTTCTGACTTGTCAGTCTCCTAGATGGTCTCCCTGTCTGCAGCCTTGCACTGATCCAATCCACTCTGAGCTGTAGTCAATGTGAGCTTACTTAAATGAATCTAATTTTATTACACTTGAAATAAAATTCAAAATCTCGTGTCCGGCCATCATGGCCCTTCATAATTTGATTATGCCTTCACATGAATAACTTGCTGTGCTCCCTCCTACCCATACTGTAATCTCTTGCCTTCTATATATCCCGGCCATACTGAACACTTTACTTTGGGAGATGGACCGTGCCCTTGCTCACAGTGGCTCTTTGCTTCAGTTTTCCAATTTATCAGCATCTCCAGGGCTTAGTACTGTTCTGGAACATTTTTAGTGCTCAATAAATATTTGTTGAACGAATGAACGAATAAATGAGGCAATGAAATAGGGCATGAGATTTGGTATATGATATGTAGCTGAAGCCATAGTTCATTATTGCTACTTATAGAAAATAGTGACCATTTATCTTAAGCCCATTAATCTGAAAGTGTTTCAATTTAGAAACACTTCGTACCATGAACACTAAATTGGTTCTGAAAATAAAAAAAATTAATTGCTTTGACATTTCTAAGTCTAGTGCCTTCAAGTCTATATATAAACCAACATTTGAGACACAGATAGCGCAAGGTGAGATGACAAAATCTCCTTTATCTTAGATTTATGATAGTTAATTAAGTTCTCATTTTAAGATAAAAGTTACTGGAATTATTTTCCTGGGGCTGGTGTCAAAACAGTTCAAACACCTGTAGATTGCATTAAGACCAAGTTCTATAACACATTTGAAGCTGCAACCATACACAGGCTATACCGGTCTAATCTGGGAAGTTTTCAGCCCACCACCTGAATGAGGCCAAGGAAATGATACTGACTTTGAACTTCTTGTCCTACCTTTTCTGCATATCCCAAAATTCATGGTTTTGATGGGTATTATATAAGAAAGATAATTACTGCAGTAATGCATTTCATACACACAATGACTCCAACATAAAACCACTTTCATTTACCAATAACATCACAAATCAAGGTCAAAAAAGATTTTGAAATGAAGTTCTGATAAAAAAAAAAAAAAGATTTGGATGCCTGGGCTATGATGACATTAATGCATGAAGCTTAATGTTTAAAGAACACTGAGACGAATCTAGAGAAGAGCTGGAGTGGAAACACGCTTGTGTCTGAAGACTGAAAAAAGGCATCTGACTGCAAATCCACTCAGCCTCCCAGAGAGGTTCTCCTTTTAACAGGCTCTTCACTGCTTTGTGGGGCGGTGTCACAGGTAAGGTCACTCTAGGGTTAGGACTCATCTTGGTTAAAAACGGAGCTTCTGGATATGGTGTGAAGTGCTCCTTATCTTCAGGATTTCGGACTGGGGGATTTAGAACAAATAGAGGTACAACTCTTCCATTACCCACCTACAGATGTACACTAGAAAATGGCCTATATGAGGACAGTACTGAATGCAACATGTAAAATCATAGCACACAAGCTTAGACTGATGGAATGAACCAGGAAGACAAGAGAGGGTGTGAAGCTCATGGCTTCGATGCACAGAGAATACAAGCACAGACACTCATGTACATAAACAGGCACAGACACATAGATACACATAGAAAAACATACATACATACATACATACACACACAAAGACACAGACAGATACAAAACACACAGACACAGATGTTCCCTCTTTCTTTCACCTGAGTGGCCTTCCTGGATCCCTGTTTACCTATACAACTACCAACAATCATTGGCTCCTTCAGAGCACCAGTATCTGAGTGAACAAATGATGCTGCTTTGTACCTCTCGTAAAAGTAGCAAGTATCTGATGATAATAGACAACAAAGAAGTTACATCCCAAGTGTGACTGACATATGCTATATATTATAATGCTATATAATTATGACATATAGCATACAAATGGAAATGAGATAAAGCAGTAAGAAACAGAAAGGAATGGGAAGGTGAGGGAAAGTAGTGAGGTGAGAATTTTAAAGGAAATTGTGTGTTACTACAATGGAATAAGAGGGAATGTGATCACACAGCAACAGTCACTCATTCACCATCCATCAGGGAAGTTTATAATTCTTCATAACTTGGACCTGGTATTAGCCAACCGTCCTCTGTGCTACAGTTAGGTCAACTTAGGTTGAACTGAGACATAATTATACGTCACAATGTAAACATTGAGCATGTGCCTATCTGCTCCCAAGCTAACTGACCCTCATTGTGCAGACTCCATAACTTGCTGGAAATCATTTTAGCATGCAGATCAATGCCTTCTGTGACACAGCAATCACTTGTAGACATAAATGAGTGACAAAACTAAGTCTCCTAGGTGAGCCACCCTATTCAGATGACTGTACCGTGCAGCTCACCTATTGTGAACAGTTGTTTTAGTGTGTGTGTCCTTTCAAATACAGTGTTTTTGCAGCCCTGTGGCCCTCAGGAATAGTGTCTACTGCTGTTAAGCTCAAGTGGGCTGTGATAGACTAGCAAAGAAAACACATGCCTGTCAAGAAAAGTCTTGCTCGGGTAGAAGCTACAATGCCATCGGCCAGAACTTAATGCTAAGGAGTCAATGGTCTGATAATGAAATGAAAACACACACACACACACACACACACACACACACACACCCCCAAAAACAAAGCAAACAAACAAACAAAATACCCCTCCCAAAAAGGTCACAAACTGGCTGATAAATGATAAAGATCCTGGATCCAAAGCTGGAAAAAACTTTCCTCTAAGAACATGATTCAGTATTCAAGAATTTAGTGTTGGAGTCTACTTATAGAACCTAACTACCACAAATGAAAATATTACATACATTTACTAATTAATAACTTATCTAGTCAAGACGAAAATGTCAGATACACATCAAAGCTAAAGAAAGCAAAAGGTGAAACTAAAAATTAGTCAAAAGGATTATGAAACTTAAGAAGTGAAAAAGAATGAGTAATTTTCCTCTTTAGAAGCTATAAATGATAAATCCACTCTTCCTCCCGGTACAGAACTCAGCTCAGGCCCTCTCACATGCCAGGCATGAGCTCCTCACCCAGTCACAGCTCCTTAGGATCCTGCTAACTTTCAACAGTACTTTCCTTATGGATCATGTAACTAAAGCATAACTCTACCATTCAGAAGAGTACAAGCTCTCACAAGGAGTCACACACTAGACTGTAAAGCGAAGGATTCATCAAAATCGAATTTCTAAATAATCTTAGCACATTCTAAAGAGACCACTGATACAGTCGAGGGCAAGCTAGAATACTTACTCATCTGTAAAGACATCAAAGCAAATGCCAGGTCCTGCCAGTCCTGCTACTCACTGCCCTACCATGTATGTCAAAAAGATAGCTTAAAACGCCCACCTAGAAATACATCAAATCTTAGAAGAAACAACTGCCTCCTCCTCATTTCAGTAAAGCAGCCTGCACTGCCTAAGTGGTTTTAGTTTACTTGTTGACTTGAAATTTTGCTACAATTCCTCATGCGGACCAGGGCCAGCATTACTACATGGATGAGGATGCTTCATCTCCCAAGCACTGGACTACATACACTCACATGCCACCACAGTCAGCATTTAGTAGTAAAGCTCTACATGTGACCGGTTCCCTACATGTGACCAGGTCCATGGAGGTCACCTGTGAGACTGAGGACAGTGGAGGTGGAAGAGACTTTTAGGTGCCTGCTGAGGTCAGAGGAAAGCCCCAGCACAGTCAGCTCCTTTAATAATAAGCTGCTTTCAAGATCTCTGCTGACTCACAGCCCAAGGGAGACAGACACTGGCTGAAGGAGACTGCTCCTTCTGAGTTAGATGGTTCCTTACCTGGCCATGCTCGGTCCTAGCCCCGGGGCTAAACCAGTGGCTGTGGAGAGAAGAAGAGCTGTTAGCTGGCCCCTCCCCAGAAGCACCTGCTCGCCCATGAACAGTCAGCATATGCTTAAGGAACTTGTTCAAACTAGCTACAGAACCTTAAATATGCTTTATTTTAATGGATATTTCATGTAATTCTAGACTTACACCAATTTTGACAGCAATGTAAGAGTGCTCATAACCCAGTAATTTTCAATTTAATAAGCAAACGGAGTTAGAATTACATTTCCATTTAATTATGTTAACATAAACTGCTGGGACTGTGTTCATTTTACAAATCAATTCTGGTTATAAAATCTACAAATGCTATCATTTGCCACAACTTAATTATAGCATCATTATGCCAAATTATGACCTTTTGATTATTGGAGTTATTTAAAAAGAGTTGGAAATACAAGAATATCCTATTCTGCAGCTCTGCACTAAGGACAGAAACAAAAATCCCAGATACCAGTCCTACACCATCCATGGCTTGCACTTTGGATACATTCCTTTTATAGTGACAACAATCAGGGCTTTGATTCGATAACAGTGAAAACACAAGCCACTGCCACAGTCAAAGCTTCCCAATACGCTACTGCAGAGCCCAGCGCTTTTGCCCCAGGACTCCACACTTGTGAGTGGGAGTTCTTACTATCTGCATGCCCAGTGCTCTGGTAGTACACAGCATCTAAGACTAGGAAACTGAGGAAGACATTGAAAACATAATTACAGGGAATACTAGAGACTCTAAGTGCCATTTAGTGTTACCTGAACAACAGCAGCTTTATGTACTATAGCCTCTTTAGAGACATGACATGTTTTGCCAATCCTCAAGAAAACCTTAGTTCCAGATATGGATATGACAATCAGGACCTTCTGGCCAAAATCTGCTGTCAGCACTCCACGCTACAGAAGGAAGGAAGACGAACACCAACTGGCATGTCTCCCTAAAACCACTATGCATTTTCTAGCTTCAGGGGCAGCTAGCCGGGAGTGACCAGCCTCCATGGGAGCAGGGCTTGTCTACATCTCCTTTAAGCATTTCTCCAAGTCATGGCTGGTGATGTTCCCAGCAGGGAAGAACCCACACTGCTATGACAATGGACACTTAACTGGTATTACTGTGCAGAGTCTGGATTAGCCACCAGCTGGAAGCAAACTTTCAATGAGAGTTCCGCTGACAGCTTGACCAAGGTCTCCCTTCTGCTGTGGATTGTTTTAAAGTGAAGTATTGGAAGATCAAACACACACTCTAGTTAATTATTTCATAAAGGGATTAAAAACATTGGACCTTTGTGCCATCTCTCCAAACTCCAAGCCCAATGCAGAAAACAGAGCTCTCACTCTTTTCCTTCTCAAAGCAACCTATCTTCTGCAAGAATAAGCATAGTGGTGGTGCATAAATGATCCTATGTTAACGACCGACTTCCTATTATCATCAATTTACTCTTTACTCGCTCCTGATGCTCTACTTTAGCCTGACAGTCAGTTAAGAGTAAGCCATTCTATCAGTAGTACGAAGGGACCACTCCCTGCCAGTGAGCTGCCTCTATTTCTCCCCTCCCCCAGCTGGTGCTGGCCTTGGTTTTTCTCTGCTGTGTCTTTCTGCAACCCCTTCAGCCTTCTCTCCAGGAAGAGTCACATCCATCATTATCACCCAGTGACGGGGGTGGGGGTGTCCAAAGCCCACCCTATTTCAACTGTTCAGCTGTTCTGGGGAATTTCGAGAAGTTTTCTGAGGCACATGCTGAACTTACACCTTTCCTATCAGCTCACTCAGGCCCTGCCCTTTGGGTCTGGAACTATAGATCCCACTACACCCTCCTCTCACCATTTCTATAGATTTTACCTTCATAGGATTTGGGTGAGAAGATTAAAAATAACTTTTCCAAGAGGCAGACACCCTAAGAGGCAGTTTGACCACTGAAGCCACCCTGGGATTTAGAGTGTAAAGAAATGTAATTTGGCAGGGTCTGGAAGGGTCACTGGGGCACTTTCAGAAAGTTCCAGGAGGTGGGGTGCGAGGTACCGAGATTATGATGCACAGATGGGTAAGGAGTGAAGGAAGAGAGGTGGGGGGTGGGGGTGGGGTGGGGGATAAACAGTATAGGTGGAGGAAACTTAAGATACTGACAGAGGGGATGACACCCCCCCCCCCCAGGAAAGAGGACAGGACTGATTAAAACACAGGTGCTTGAGTCAACTGTGGACAACAAACTTTATTTCCTCTAATAAAACTGAAGGAAAGGGAGTAAAGGAAGGTGTGAGTGCCTAAACAAGGAATGAGGGAGCTGGCAGAATACTGGGAAATCAAAACTGCAGAGTCCAGGAGTTCTGGATGGTTCTTCCCCAGAGTAACCAAGAAGATGCTTTTATATTTGAGTAGCATGCCAGTCAAGCTCACTGGTCGAGTGGGGAGCAGACCTGTGCCATGTGCCCGCATATACTGGTCATGCAAATCACCCTACAATGCCACTGGTCTCAGCAGCATCCTACAAGGGAGACAGCATTTAATCCCCAGACTTTCAGAGTTTCTGTGCAAACAAAGAAACAAGCTCGGAGAGATGAAGTTATCTGCCAAACATTTCATAAGTAACAGTTGCAATTCAAAGGTCACTGTTATGATTCTGAAGCCATGTTCTACCAGCCACCACACCTGTGGCTACCAAGAGAAATGCAGCAACTGATGCCAAGGGAATGACTCAAGGTTCCAGATCCCTGAGAATAAGGGCAAGTAAAGAGGAGTAGGTAGCAAGGAAAAAGCCACCTGGGGCTTAAAAACAAAATCGCCAGGAGCTGGGGAGATGACTCAGCTGATAAAGTGTATGCAGTGCAAACACAAGGACCTGAGCTTGATCCCCAGAACCCCATAATAAGCAGGCAACATTGGCTTGCCATTCAGTACTGAGGATGCTCAGAATGGAGGGGTCTCCTGGACTTGCCGGCCATCCAATCTAACCACACAAGAAGGGTTAGTGCACAGAGACTGTGGAAGATGCTCAATGTCAATGTCTGGTATGGGCACGTGTATGCACACATACATACATACACATGCACATACATGCACACACACGCGTGCACATACACACCCCAGATAAGAAATAAAATGGTAGTAGTGTCCTTCAAATGTGAGTGAAGCTTACACGGAGGCTACTGCCCTGAACCAGAATACGGCTGCAATGATGTTTATGTACTTGGATTTGCACTTGAGTCAGGATTTCAGGACAGGCTCACAGAAGACTAACAGTGAAAGAAGTAGAACAGGGAGAGGCCGAGGTACAGGACAGCAGTCTGCTCAAGGCCGAAGAGCTGGATAGTTCTCCCTGTGGGATACAGGTACAGGCTAGGTACATCTAGAAACAGAGCCTATCAAGCCCAGTAGGGTTCTGCTGGAAGCAGAAGCTGTACCTCCTCCTGAGCTCTTGTTGCAGCCATCCTTCAAGCAGAGCAGTCTTGTAACTAGAGTGGAAGGGATTGCGTTTCAGGTCTCTGTAGAATCTGAGTGCTACATAAATTCCTTCTCATGCTTCCATAATCCCCTTCCCTAACCACAGAGCTGAACAGCAGGTAGCAGCAATGTATTAGATTTCACAGGCAGTCAACTAACATTACTCCTGGGCAAAAAGACAAACCCGACCCCAAGATTTTTGACTGAAGACTCCAGTAAAATTTACTGGAGTAAATGGTAAAGAGTACAATAAAATGTACTTTCATATACAGATTTTTAGAAATAAGTTTTTCCTTTTGGACATAGAAGCACATTTTTTAAATAATGAGGGAGAGTAATATAATTTGCTTTGAATTTCTCCCTCTCTCTCTCTCTCTCTCTCTCTCTCTCTCTCTCTCTTTCTCTCTCTCTCGTTCAATACCGCAGCAATTAGCCAGGTCTAGCTACTTAAATTTATAGCAATATTACATATTCAGTTCCTTTATTGAACAGTCACATTACAGGTCTAAAGGCACATATGGTTTATTCTGTTCATTCTGTGTGTAGAACATGTGCACTACTGTGAAAAAATTTACTGGATAGCAATGGTCTAATAGAGTTAACATTGAAAATCTAATGCCATACAATTTTCTAACACGAACACCTTCCTTGTGCAGCCCAGGTCTGTTTTCAATGAGAACAGCTGGATATGGTGACACACACCTATAATCCCAGCACTCAGGAGACTAACACAGAGTCACGGGTTCAAGTCTAATTGGGTCAAAATTGTTAAAGCAAGAGGGTCCAGCATCAAGAAGCCACATGGCTAAGAACTTAGCTTTTGAAGCTACCTCAAATGTCAGTGCAACAACAACAACAAAAAAACTAAGATGTAGGGAGTGGGGTAGGGCTAACCTGTCACTATGGGCACAGAGAGCTCAGTTGTGTCAAATAAACAAACTGAACAGAAGAACTAAACTTGCATGTGATTTTTCACTACTCATCAAGAGACACTCCTTAACTGCCTCAGGCTTGGCCAGTCTCAACACATGGCAATCTGCCTCCACAGTCTTTAATCTACATTAGAATTCTTCCTGATTATTTGATGCAGAACAAGCTATTTTATTTGCTTGAAATGTGCTTCCTACCCCAACTGATGATGTACTTCAGAGATTTATCAGTTGTTCTAGGTAGAGGTCCAGTTAAATTTAAGAATGAGAGCCCTGAGCTCAGTGTATGATATTGTACATGTACATTCATGTAATTGCACATATATGTGCCCATCCACTGACCACTGTCTATTACCTACTCCTTAAGTCCGTGAGTACCATAAGCACAATGATCATGTCTGTCTTGTTTTCTGCTGTGTGTCTGCCGCGGGAAGCCCTCATAGGTACCCTGGGAAGAGTGCCTAAGAGGATGACTTGAGACGGGAGAGAGGGGGATCAACTACAGTGCCACAGTTTTCTCTCCTAAGATATTCCTCCTACATTAAACTGTTCTGTGATATAAAATGTCAACTCTAAAATTATATATAGGAGGTTCTTTAAAAGCTTAATTTACTTTATTAAAATACTAATGAA